TGATGTTGACTACTTTTCTGTTATATTCTTTTTGTGAATTGTCTTTACACATTTATGAGTATTTTGAAGTTTTTTTTAAGAATTATGAAGCTTTGTGTGCATTAAAAATATTTTTTAACAAACACTGTAGAAATTTTTCCTCAGTGCATTTACCCTTGTGTGACACATTTTGCAAATCTAAAGTCAAATTTTTGTGTATTCAAACCTAATAGTCTTATATATGATTTTTGGTAAATTTTGGCAAAGTAATTCTTTTCTATCAAGATTGGTAACTATTAAGTACGTTTGGAGTTAGGGTGGTATTGGTTCCTTGGTTTTTCTACTCTTTCCATCTTCTGTCTAATTCACGTAGAACCATTTCAGTTGTCGGCAGGCTTAACTGTGTTAATCTTTGGTTTAATGCCATCATTTTGGAAATACTATTTCCTTGCCTACTGTATTCAACTGATTCATCTTTATTTGTTGTTTATTAGGGTCTTAAACCTGATAGACCTTCGGTATTTATAGATTTAACCTTTACAGTTTCAGCTATTCTAATCTGCCCTCAGAATTTATGGTTAAGTAATTCTTAGCTTTGCTAAGGCTGAAATGTTGCTTGCTGCCAGGCTTGAAAATAGGAAGTGATCTTGTAGCTCAAAGAGGGAGCCTATCAGACAGGCCAGCACCCCGTCTCAACGCAGCTTTGTTTTTCTCTACTTGTCGTCGCGTACGCAGTAACTCTCCAAGTGATAAAAGCTGTTTCTTTGTGAAATATGGGCCCGAAAAGAAAACCAACTGCTAGTGCTGGTGATGGAAGTGAAGAGAAAATGAAGAGGTCTAAGAAAGTGATGGTTCTTAGCCAGAAAATAGACGTTTTGGATAAATTAAAGTGGTTTTACAGATTCAGGTAAGTTTGTGGTTGGTTAATGTTGATATAGTAGTTAATATTGTGAGTGGCAGGATTTATTTTTATAAGCTTATACATTACTAGTAATGTATTTTTAGGAACACTAAGGATTTGAAGATATCACTTCAATGTCTCTTATACTTTGCTGAACTTTATGGGGGAAGTGAACACTGTATAGTACTGAAAACTTGGGAATGTTGGGGAGTCACAACTGTCTTGGTATATTGTATATCAAGAGTTACTATAATACTGGGGTACCCTATTCCAGTAGTTTCTGTCCTTGTGGCGCTGCAACACATGGTTTTAGATCATTGTAGAATTCACTTTCCTCTCCATCCCAGCTTCCAATATTGGTCTTTTTCTCCTCCCAAATTATGCTCTGTTTATCATACTAAATGAACAATAATACAGTGTTAACAAGTTAAAATAGCTTAATGGTGTTTTCCTTTGGGATTATGTTAGTTATAACTTGAGTAGAGGCCTTTCAGAGTATCTTTTTCATTTGGGAACGCTCCTATTCAAATGCTATCTAAAAATAGCAGCTAAATAGTTTCACATGTCTTTTATGAACGTTCTTTTAGCAAACATTTTTGAACATCTGTATGAGCATCTGTATTATTAGATGCTGAGTATAGAGAAGAGCTAACACCTCATTTCTCAGAGAATTCCCAGTTTAGGAGAAGAAAAACATTTATAAAAGTGAAACAAGTTACTGCACAGGAAATTCTGAGACCACAGAGGTAGGAGATAATAAGTAGAGGGGGGAGATTCTAAACAAAGTTGAGGATGAATGAATTTTTTATGTTCTTAGTCTGATAAGGATCCATTGCCCTTCCAGCCTGTTTTCGCCTGGTTGTTAACAGTGTATTGTAAAGCTGTTGGCTTCAGTCTGTTCTAGCCAAATTAAAAATCATCCTTGGTTTTGGGGCCAGCAGGTGGCATGGTGGTTAAAGGCATTGTATTCCCACATGGCTTACCATGGTTTGCCATCCTAGAGCTGGCGGCTTGCTTTCTCACGTTCCCTTTCTCTCTCTGTCTGGTCAATTAAAATAAATAAATAAATAATTCTTTAAAAAAAAAAAATAAGCCTTTAGGGAACCAGCAGTTAGCCTAATGGCTGTGTCGCTGGACTCCCATGTAGTTGACCGTGGTTCGCGTCCTGGACCCTGTGGCTTAAAACTCACACCGGGCGCGTGTGTGTGCATGCCCAGGATCCTGAGAGGAGAATGGAGGAGAAGGGATTGAGCGTGACCATCCCCCCTGGGGGGTGATTTCTCGCTTTCTGTCTCTCTGTCTGTCTGGCAAGCGCACGCGCCCTATAGCGAAAAAAACTCTCAAAAAAAAAAAAATCCTTTGTTTCAGCTGATGCATTTAGGTTTTCCTGGTAGTCTTGCTTATTGTTATGGTAAGATATATGAAACAATATTAAATTATGGTGATAATGGATCTTTTTTTCCTTGTTCCTACATTTACAGAGAAAACCTAAGAGCATTGCTATTAAACATAACCTTAAACCTGATTTCAGCTTTAAGGATGGGATACTTGCTAAATTTTAGGAAAGAATTCCATATGTACTTACTAGAAATGAGTATTAACTTATATATCCTTTTGTAATATATTTTTTCTTTTTAGTATAATTTGTATTTAAATTATATTTAAATAAATATAAATATATTTTTTGGTGTGTTTGTGTAAATATTTTGTTTCAGAAAGAATCTCTACTTAGTTATAGATTATTGCTCTTAATATATTGTTTGGAATTTCTTTGCCTGTGTTTTATTTAGCCTTTTCAGACATATATCTTTTGTGATGTTTTTAACTGGTTTTGAGAATTTGATCATGTTTCAGTGCAGCATAACTAATAGCTGATTCCCTGAGCCCAGAGTTAATTTGTGGAAGTATAAATGAATGTTTTTACTACATCTTATGTGTAAAATAGAAAACAAAGCCTAAATGCAGGGGGGGTTTCTACATCTTATGTGTAAAATAGAAAACAAAGCTTAAATGCAGGGGGGGGGGTTTTGTTTGTTTTTGGGTTTTTTTGGCGAGTTTGGATCAGACCGTACTTGAGAAAAAGCTTACATTTCCTGGTCCTTTTCCTTTTTTATCCAAAAAGGAATACTATCTTAAGGACTTACTTTTAGGTGTTTTGATTCTACAGCAGAATCTTTCATGACAATGAAAAAGTAGAATAATACTTTCTGGGTATTCTTTACCAAAAACATATAATTTTAGAAAATTATTATTTCTGCTAATATTGTTTGATAAAGTTTAAGTTGAGTTATAATGTACTTAATTATTTCCAGCGCCCTTAACCACCACACCACCTGCTGGCCCCAGAATTATAATATATTTTAAACTATGACTACTTATGAGAATTCAGCAAACTATTAATTAAAACCTATCACAAAATAAAGACATTTCTAATTATATTGTTTGCAAAATGGAGAAGATTATAGTTGATGGTACTAAATTCAATAATCAATCTACTAAAAATAACTTGAAAACTAAATGTTGTATCTAATGTAAGAGACATATATCTAATTAGACTTTGCTGACTCAGCACACTTGATATTAGTAAATATTTTATGAAAGATCTACATCTTTAAACTGATACACTTTAGAGATGATATGTCCGCTTTAGAAATTTTTGTGATTTGAGTTCATACCAGTTTGGTAAAGGGGTTGGGATATCAACTCTGAGCTGAAGAGTAGAAAGGAAGCGTGTACCAGTTTAGTGAGTGATCCGACAGCAGCAGAGGTCTCACCCTTCCTCAATAGTGGTATTGGTTCCAGGACCCCCTTCGTTACCATAATCCGAGAATGCTCAATCTCACAAATAAAGTGGCATAGTATTCGCATACAACCTAATCTCCTGTATACCTTAAATCATCCCTAAGTCACTTAGAATACCCAATAAAATGTTAACAATATGTAGGTAATGTTATACTACATTGCTTCAGGCATGACAAGAAAAAGTATGTACTGCAGTTCAGTACAGTAGACCCAGCCCCATAATACACATCATCACCAACTTTGCATTTTCTATTTCTCGTTCTTGGTTAAATCCACTAAAGTGGACCCTGTAGATTAAGAGGACCGACAGTACCAAAGTTAATGGAGGAGAGGAATTGGAAGGTATGGTGGCTTGGCAGCCAGTGTGCTCTGAGAATGGCCATGCGCATCTTTTAACAAAGTATCATTTTATAATGGTATTGTCTTAGCGTTAAAATTAGTCAGAGAAAAGTATAGATGAGTAAGTACAAATCCAAACCATCCTTAAGATGAGTAGTGAAAGACCTAAGAACAAATGAAATGGAAGTTGAGGAATAATGATTACCAAAATTAAAGTGTTGCAATATTTTTAAAAATGATGTAAGAAATATTAATTTGATGGTTAAAAAAATCACCAGAGTGTGCAATAACTAAGAGAATGGAATAAGCCATGGTGATGGTGTAGCTGGTAGTCACAAGTTTATTGGACAACTCTCCCCCATTATCGAGATACACTCACACACTTGAATTGTAAAGCAATTTTTTTTTTTTTAGTTTTTTTTTTTTTTGAGAGATTTTCACTGTAGGGCGCGTGCGCTCGCCAAACAGACAGAGAGAGACATAGAGACAGAAAGCGAGAAATCACCCCCCAGGGGGGATGGTCACGCCGCAATCCCTTCTCCTCCATTCTCCTCTCGGGATCTTGGGCACACACGCACATGCGCCCGGCGTGAGTTTTAAGCCACCGGGTCCAGGACACGAACCGCGGTCGACTACGTGGGAGTCCAGCGACATAGCCATTACGCTAACTGCTGGTTCCCTGTAAAGCAATTTTGATAAGCAGTTGTAAGCTTATTAACTATTATTTTAAAAACTCTTAAGTAGAAAAAAACTTTTAATATGCCATTTCACTACAGCGATCTTACAAGGAAGCATATATTTAGCTTTTGCAGCACAGATTTTGCAAGTATTTAAAGCCATTGTGAACTGTGTGTGTATGGAGTATGTGAGTTTCCAGGTGTTTTCTATATTATAGAAACATTTGTGTAGG